TAGACAGGACCCAAGGTGCAGATTGTGCAAAGAGGCCTCAGAGACAGTCCAACACATAGGGTGTAAGATGCAGGCAGGAATAGCATATACTGAACAGCACAACCAAGTAGCTGGCATTGTGAACAGGAACATCTGCATAGTGTATGGGCTAGACTCGCCCAAGTACGGATGGGAGATTCCACAGAAGGTCATGGAGAATAACAGGGCTAAGATCCTGTGGGACTTTCCAGATCCAGACAGACAGGCAGGTACTGGCCAATCAACTAGACATCGTGATAGTAGACAAAGACCAGAAGACAACGGTAGTGATAGATGTAGCAGTACCAAGTGACAGCAACATCAAGAAGAAGGAGCATGAGAAGCTAGAGAAGTACCAGGAGGAAATAGAGAGGATGTGGAAAGTAAAGGCCAAAGTGGTCCCAGTGGTGGTAGGAGCACTCAGGGCTGTGACTCCCAAGCTGATAGAGTGGCTCCAACAGATCCCAGGAACAACATCAGAGGTCTCTGTCCAGAAGAGTGCAGTGCTAGGAACAGCACAGAACCACTGCCCAGAACCCTCAAACTCCCAGCCTCTGGTAGAGGACCTGAGATTGAGGAAGACACATACCACCCATAGGGGTGAGAGGGGAATTTTTATATTGCAAATCCAGATGAATATTACTTTAAGATTACAATAAACCAGAGAGAATTCATGGCTTGTTTTAACTAGATTTATAGATTATAAAGTATAAATTAGTCTATGAACTTTTAGGAAAAACATCACATTGATCAAAGATGATTCCTATGAAGGAATGGTTTGATGAAGGCCGCACTCGGGGAGATAAGCATTCCCTTAGGCCCCAACAGGAGCGTGGGAAGGTTAAGAAGATGAGACTGGTACCACCCTAAGGAATTCAAGGTGTTTTGGCTTGCTGGCTTGGGGAATTTAGATTTAGTCTGGAGAGATTTCTGTCTTTGAGGTGGAAGCTAATAAACGCAACAGAACTGTATCTGTACTTGTCTTGTGGAGTTCTTTGGGCTGAACCTGACAATTCCCTATTCACTGTTGTCGATACTCCTCTGTTTATCTACCACATGTGAACTGATATTTCCCACAATTCTACCCAAGCGGGCAGGGGAGTTAAGTTCTGTACTGTAGTGTGATTTTGTTTCTGTTAATACATATATGGGAAAATTGTGGTCCTCCGGGCAGTCTGATAACACTGGGGATGATGAAAGCTGATGTTTAACAACATTGAAAGCTTAACAATATAAACTATTGTCTCAGAAAAGAAAACGGGTTGAATCCCAATGCTAGAATACTATTTTCTTTACTAAGGACCCAGCACAAATTTTGCATTTCAGTATCACAACTTAAAGCACTTATATAACCTGAATATTCAATCATTTGACAAAATGTATGAGAGCATTCATATTTTATATATATACATATATAATATTTAGGAACAAAATCTTACCATATTCTAGTATTAACTTCATATTTGTAAAGATCATCAACCAACCCATATTTATTACTCGGCAATGCTTTGTAGCCTCCATGAACATAAACAGACTTTGTTGTATCATCATAGACACTGGTATGGCCATATCCACCTTGTACTATTGCTCCTTTTGTTTCTGGCACTAGCCAAGAATTTGATCCTTTAAACAAAGGTATAACAGAGCAATAATTGAGGGAAATATAATACAAATTTATTCTAATTTACTAATTCCTACATTATAATCAACATTCTTAGAAAACAAGAATTTCATTTCATATGTTACTCCTTACATTTCATTCCAAAATTAAGTCTTATCTGGCTAAGGTTGATATATAAAAGTGTATACAATAATGTCAAAATGATCAACAGAATATAAACATTGTCTTAAAAATACAATACCCAATGTCCTAAAAATTCAATCAATACAAAATACATACCAATATTAATGTTACTGATGATACCTAATATCAAATTAATCATCAATACTTACTCACTGTTCAAACATTTCAACAACTTTCATGGAGAAAACCTAGCATACATAATCCTGAAAAAAAGTTTTATCACTTTGGCCAAGCCTAGTTAATTTGAGGATGAGCCAATGGAGAAAATCCAAAACAAGCCAGCATTAAAATGTACAATATCACAGATAAGGTGTGGTCATTACCAGGAAGCATATATCAGGATATGTATGCATAAGCCACAATTTGGTTTCTTTGGTTATGGCCCAATGTGCTGTCCAAATCAGCTATGGTAGTTTTTGAAGCAAAAGTTATAGCTTACCATGTTCTGTGAAATCAGAAATTTTATTTTATTTTATTAATAAATTTTGTTAAAAGTTTTAAAGAGAACATAAAAACTAACACAAACTAATACAAATAAAGGGAAGGAAGGAAGGAAGGAAGGAAGGACGGAAGGAAGGAAGGAAGGAAGGAAGGAAGGAAGGAAGGAAGGAAGGAAAAAAAGAAAAAGACCAAAATTGCAGTGAGAAAGAATAAAAAGAAATAGAAAGCAGCAGCTTCCAATCTTCTCTGCAGCAAATGTAAGTATGATTACAAAATTACATCTTACTCTATGGTTACAAAAAAAAGCCCATTTTTTTCTATTATCCATTTTTTTTCTAATCATTAAAACCACAAGTCATAAGTGCATTTTTTCTGTTTCATGCAAAAAGTCTATAAAGAGTTTCCAATCAGCCATAAATATAGCTTTTCTCTGATCAAGGAAGTTAATTTAGCCATCTCTGCAAGCAGTACCATCGTCACCAACCAATCCTCCATTGTAGGTAGTGTTGAACCTTTCCACTTTCGAGAATATAATAGTCTCACTGCAGTTGTTATATAAAAAATGAAATCTGGCATTTTATCATGATGTTTTATCATGATAATGTACTATGTTTTAACTGTATGTTCTCTATATGGTTAAAAAAAAGAAACTAAATCTTCTCCAGCTCCAATTCCATGTAAACAATCCTAGGTATCTGTGTTAAGAACACCCAAACATAAACTCCATCTTTATTATCAGTGTCTTCTTCTCTATATATTTTGTATAATAAACAATGATGGCTAACATTTTTGTGTCTTATGACAAATTAATCAGCTAATTTATTTTTCAGACAGAATAAAAATCAAGAAGTTGCTAACTTTTTCAGTTAAATTCAGTGTAAACTTCAGAATTGTGTTTCTTGTTCGTGAAGTGCCATCACCACCTTTGGGTCTCACGCTAAAGCAAAGGAACTTTCTTTCACCTTCTATGACGGTTGTGAGAAGTATAGCATTTGTGATATAAATATCAGCAGGGGAACTGTATGGATGCTTTTATTAACTTGCAAGTGCTTCTGGACTAATCCACTGGGAAATTTGTTTTCCTTTGGTTTGGCAAGACTTCATAAACTCTGTAAGAATTTCAGTATGAGTCTCAAGGAGAATATAGAGAATATTATTGCTTTTTTTTAGCTAAAGCAAAATAGTGTTTTAGTATCTTAGAAAATTTTGAAATACAATTTCTACTGCACAGACTTGTTTACATTAGTAACCAGCTGGTGTCTGCTCTCAAAGTCAAGAGTTTCTTTAGATTAAAAAAAAAAGAAAAGAAAATAAGAGCATTTTTGGCTCTAAACAAAGGCTGTTCCCACCCTCCTCTTATGAAAGTAATATGGTTTCCTCTGTATTCCCACTGAGATTTTGCCAAAATGTTCCAAGGAAAAAGAAACTATGGAAATGTAATGATAATTAGGTTTAATCTATTTTTGCAGTCCTCTCCTTAACTCTTTTTTAGTTTCATCATCATTGTAGGTATACAAATCAAAGTGATAATTGTGTTATTATTGTTTTGGGGTAGCCCTGTTGAATTAAATCTGTTTGAAGTTTAAATCTGATGGATCTTGTGAAGTCTTGTATTACCTGAATACCTGCAGTTTGGGACAACAGGGTGATGAGAAGATTAAGGCCAGTACTGAAACCAAGGCCTTGAGACTGAAATATTTTACAAAACCATAGGGTTGGAAGGGATCTTGAAGGTCTTCTATCCAACTCACTGCCCAGTATAGGAATCCTCAGACCATCCCAGACAGATGGCTATCCAACCTTTACTTGATGCTCCAGTGATGGAGCACCCATAACTCTAGGAAGCAGATTC